GTTCCCTACATCAGCAGCTGGAAGATTCAAAACAAAGAGTCCAACAGTTCAAGGTATATGTGTATACTCTGCTTTAATTTTTATCTTGTTACTTTCAATCAGCAACAGAAACTTATTTAATGAATTAACTCATAGCACAAACACAGACTAAAATCATACACCAATGTTCGTATATCTCTGTCCTGCGCTGGCACATCTGCACGTAGCTGCTATGGCTGGTGTAAACTTTGGTGACAGAAATTTGCTTCCATTAAAAAGTGCTATGAAAGATTTCCAAAATTTTAAAAATTTCCTGGAAAAGCAATGCTGTGTCTTACTACTCTCAGGCGTTCACTTGTGCCCCTGCTTGTCAAATTACTGTCTTTTAGACTACAGCTTTGTTTGTTCACTTTTTTCTGTGTCCTTTCATGTAAAAGATAAATATATAAACCTGTTTCCCCCATGAAAAGAAATGTTAATTTATCTTGTATAGTGATTTTTTTAGCAGTTGATCTTTCCATTCTGTACAGAAGATACTATACCGTGTCCGTTTCATGATAGAGCAAATTCAGGCAAACAGATGTGAAATGATTTGCTAAAGGTCACTCAGCTGACCACTAGCAGAGGGACTACAGTGGTACAGAACCAGGCAGCAGCTGAAATAAAAGATCAGAATCATGCCAGTATTTCTGCTGACCATCACAGGCAAAACAAGATTCATTGGAAATGTCTATTCAGCTGTGTCTCTAAGCAGTTGAGCTCAAAATCTAGGATCGGGCACCATGTATCAAGAAAGTTTAAACTGTTTGTGTTCCCCACCTTCTCCATAGCAGTCATTCTTCTGTAAAATGTTGCCATATTTCCAGTGGGGCTTTTAAAAAGTAGAAAAGAGAAAATAAAGACAGAGAACTTTAGTTTAGTAAGCTGTTGATGTAAGAAGATATTAAGCTATTTAAGATACCCATGTGGCTCTCTTGTAAGAAAGGACGGAAAGGAACAAGCAAGGCAGATGCAATCTGTTGCTCGTGATAATCTTAAATTTTTCAAATTTCTCATGCTTTCACACAAGAGTTACTAATTCAATAGCTGTTGAAATTTGGCAAACATTGAAAAGCTAAGTGGAAGAAATCAGCTGACAGTATAATGTAATATTGCACTAAGCCGACTGAGCTAACTAAACTTGCATGATATGAGCTCTCTATTAAGAATCTAGAGTAAGGCTGATTCCAGAACAATATTTTATCTCTCTTTAGACAGCAGGGAGCATTTAGTGGCTTCCTTTTAGACAGGCCTAATTGGGTTTTTGCATGACATACAGTACTGCTTGCTGTCACAGCTATTACAAATGGAACAGAATGTCCGAAAATAAGTAACAAACGGGTGTTAATCTCATTTCACTGATCAGGCTGACTTAGTCTAAGAAAGCCCTTTTTAATGCTTGCCTTTCTTACCCTCCTCTGGAACTTATCTAACTCAAACTCATTGTTATTTCTTTTTTTTTTTTTTTTATTTTTACTATTTGTCAATAGTTAGTTTATAAACTTAAATGGTGGAAGAGTATACTGTTGAGGACGTCATTCTTTTTGGCAGTTTCATTTCATGATTTATATACAATCTGGTGCTTTTACTATATAAAGTAGGCATATTTGGTAGAGGATAAGATAATACACGATGTAAAAGAGGAGTTCTTATAAAAAGCTTTACATTAACCATTTTGCATATAGTCACTTGTAGAATTAATCTTTCTCCTCTGTTATGATCATCTTCCTGCCCTCTGTAGTAACACACTTCTTTTAGCTTGCTTGCTGACATTCATCCTGGACACGCATTATTTAATCTTATGTGTTACCCTGTTTTCATTTAAAGGAGCCAAAATGTTACCGAAGTGAATATTCCCCTAAAAGTAGTTATTTTTCTTCCCTCCTATGTTTTCATTTATCTCCACGCATTCTCCCCATTTTTCTGTAGTCTTGTCAGATGCCTGTAAAATATCTGTTGTTTACAAGTCCAGGAAATTCAAAATGGCTATCTATACAGGTTAAGATATAAGATTTCCTGTAACAATAGAGGCCAGAGGTAGGTAGAATACCACGAAGTTCAACAGCAGTGATTGTGTGATTAAGAAAGTACTGAGTGATAGCAGATAAAGAAGAAATTGGGGGAAAAAGAAAGTAAATATGTAATCATTTAAAAAAATTATGGATGATACCGACTAAACAAAAGGGAGAAAACTAGAGAGAGAGTTATATGAGATGGATTTAAATATTTTAGGGTAGCTTCCCTGCCACGAACAGATGACCATCTAGTCAAACACTGCATACACATGTAAGCATAAATAAAGCTTATAAAAAAGAGTAAAAAAAAAAAATATATATATATGTATGTGTGTGTGTATATATATATATACACACACACACACACACACACACACACACACATATATATATATGTTTCCATAAACAGAAAGGGATTTTGTAATGCAGATTCTGGTAAAACTATCTACTATTGCTTGTTTAAAAACTTTGTTCTAGGATAGCATTTCTAGAATGAAATGACAAAAACTTTTTATATTCTTAAGTTGTTATTGTACTATGTGCATTTTAGGTATTAAGTCTCTCATCAGCACACAAGGGGATTAAAATGTATAATTCCCATTAATGTTAATAGCAGTAAATCCCTCTTCATTGATGGGACAAAAGCTCATTGTGTCTCTAAATTAATGTTGAATTTTGTTTTGTTTTCTGTTTAGTTTTCCAATCTTAATACTGACATGAATGATAAATTGCAAAATGTTTTCAGAAAGTTCTCTGAGGGTGATTATAATAAAAATTCCGTAGCAAAATCAGGTATTTTATGAACTGGTACATTTGTGCAACATCATCTTTTCTCATTTCAAAGAAACTGAGTAATTTGGATACCAAGCCAAGTTTTTAATCTTATTTTGAAAGATATTCAAAACCTGGGGACTACTTACCACAGTGCTAATAAAGATTTGCAAAGATTTTTGATTAAATGTCCTTTTTAAAATGATTTCTTTTTCTAGCTGATACACTTTGTTCAACAAAAAACTATGCTGCAGGAGTCTAGCCATAAATAGTAATGTTACAGTTCAGACATTATTTAGTGGTTAAAATAAAAAATATAGAAAGTAACTTCAGGTATTTTGTGATGAAATATCAATAAAATAAATATTTTTGATGAAATATCAAAAAAAGTTTTCTTAGTGGGAGGGGAAATGGATTCAAGTTTTACTATTACTTACTTAGGGAGCTTCAGTAAGTTAATGAAACTCATTCACTGATGATGAATTCATCATTCGTTGGTGTCTGCTCCCCCATTATGCTTTGTTCTGCACCCTGGATGTGATGCAAACAGGAAAAAGAGCGTTTTTACAACTTATTGTAGTGACAAAAACTTGCAGTGCTCTCAAGGCACGTCAGGGAAAGCAGTTTTTGCAAAGATTTTGTAGCGATGAAATGGGCATGAAATTCATAAGCAAATTATTTTGAACCTAACTGCAATATTTGTATTCTGAGAATTGAAATCAGTTTTCCAGCTTATGTGAAATCACAGCATATACTAGCATGTATGTTATTCTGTGTTTTTATTAACATTTATAGCTGCATTTGATATAAACTGATGCAAAATATTTTTCATTGGCTGTCACAGGATGTGAAAATAGATGCTGAAAGTTCTAATATACAAATGACTGCTCCCTCTTCCAGCTGGCAAACTCAAAGCAGCTTTTTGTCCAGCCCACTGCTTTCAGATTCAGGTTGTAAGTATTGTTTCACTGAAAAAATCCACAACAAAATAAGGTATTTTTCTCTTTTAAAGCTGTTTTACTTGAATAGAGTGAGGAATTCTGTTTTTCCACAAAAGCTGCCATCTTATGAGTCCTGCTGTATTTCAGCTTCAGATACTGGATGTTTTTGGCTAGAAAGTACTTAGTTACCTCACACTGGGTTTTTTAGATGGGAAATACAATATATTTTGTTTATCTTCCAAACCTACACCAAAGAAAAGGGCTACATTTGGATTCTGGATCTCTGCATGAGTAATCTTACCTGTATAAGGCCCTTATCTTTTCAGGGACCAAAGACATATTTCCCCCCAAAGCGTTTTTTCCAACCTTTTGTTTGTACCAGTTAGCCTAATGCGGGTGCCACAGATTTTAACAGTAAGTTGAATTCACTAATTCTGCTTCCTACTTCAACAGTTGTTTTCAGTTATTCTTTCTAACCCCTAGTGTGTGTATCCAGCTTGTGGTCATGAAAGTTTACAAGATCTCTCACACAGCTAGCTATTCACTGCTCAGTGAAAGATAGGACATATTAGATCTTTATCTGGTGCAGGCACTCCTTTTCATGAGTGCCACAACTGTATTAGAAAAACATTTTTGATTTTTTTCTTCTGAGCATACCAGATATCTGCAAATGAATAGCAAAAAATTTTCCTTCAGAAGGATGTCACCTCCTGTTTCTTTTCAATATAGCCAGCTTGCATTGACAACCTGTTCAGTAAGTTGCATTCCATGTAATGGAAAGTCCTACTTCATTACACTTTCAAACCTTTGTCTCTCTTAGGTTGCGATTCTTCAGTTCTTCCAGTCTTAAAATGGGTACTGCGGTACATTATTACCCATCACCAATAAGTCCTGAGTTGATCTGATGAGGTTCAAGGTAATCAGTTTCCTTTCCTTTTGGAAACTGAGAGTTGTGATTAATAACTTTTTGCAAAGCATACTGAATAACAATAGTAGGAACAAAGCATAAGAGTGAATGCCTTAATCACATCTGCACTTCAGGACAGTTTCCCCCTGTCTCAAAGTTGTTTTTCCATAACCTCATGCCTGTCACAGTCTTTCCAAACCAAAGCACAACTCAGCCTTCTTGGGATATGGAAAATAAATACCCCTACCTAGTTTTGTTTAATTTTGTCTATGTAAAACTATTTCTTTTTCTGCATGTGTCTCCTAATTCCTTCTGGAACAGGTAGCCCAGAGGGACTGGGGAGTCTCCATCTTTAGAACATTCAAAACCCAGGTTGCTCAGAGAGGTTGTAGAGTGTCTGTCCTTGCAGATACTCAAAACCTCAGTAGACACAATCCTGAGCAACCTGCTGTAATTGGTCTTGCTTTGAGCAGGGGTGCTGAACTAGATATCCAGAAATCTCTTCCAAATACAACAATTTGTTTCTGTGACTCCACTGCAAAAACTTGCTAAAATATAATGATGCAACATAATTATTCCTAAAATATTACACATATCTTTATGTTGCTTACCCTGAATGGAACTTCTTAGAACTTTATTACTTTAGAACTTATTCATAAATTTTAGGCTTCTTCCCAAGAGAAGTAATATCCATGTGATCATGCCATCTGTCTTCAGCGTGTCTTCCTATCGTAATTTATGAACTATTTAGCAAATTCCATTTAAAACTGACAGAAAAATAGAATTCTCCAAGGTAATTAAGCTACTAGTGATTTTGTGAAAATCAGCTGCTTCAGGAGAAAGACCCAATTAATAACCCTAACAAAAGAAAAGTTCTACTGTGAACTCAAATATCCCTTCTATTTGATCTGCTGACTTTCCAGGCAATACCTTTTATACTGGTCAGCTACAGTGTATAGCTTGAAAATAGCTGCAGCTTTTGCTTTTCCACTTGGGGGAAATGATGGATAATGGGAATTTTGCTGATGAAAAAGATGTTGCAGAATATGTGCAGAAACTACATGTATTGCAAGAAGGGTGCAGCTAGTGATGACGTGGTGGGTGAGGTAGCACTGTTACATGAGTGGAATAGATAGGAATAGATGCAAATTAATGATGAAGCACTTTTGCTTCATCATTAAAAAAAAACTTGTTATGATATGCTAGTTTTCATTATCATTTACTTATCATCATAAGTAAATAAATAAATAGATTTATTAGTCCTTCTTTATTCTTCCTTAAACCTCTGGATATAGTAAATTTTGCAAAGAGCATGCCCCTTCCAAAGCTCTTAAGGGTTAAAATACAAAACAAAACAAATAAAAAAGAAAAACATATTTACAACTATGTGTACATGTAATCTACATAACTCAGAGAATTCTGTTTCTGGAAAGTTACGTCTTGTTCTTGTTCAAGGCTCTCAGGGTTGCTAACAGCATAGAGTTGAGCTTGCTATGTAATAAACAAATGCTATCTATATCCATAAGTAAACTTTACCTTAGAGTTTAAGTGACTTGCTTGAGGCCACCTATCATTCAGTGGGAACACAAAAATAGAATGTAAATTTCTTGTCTTCAGCTTTATTCCATGGTATGCAGGGTAAAGAGTAGGTGAGCTATCATAGGTGAGCTATCAAAGAACTATGATTCTGTCTGGACATATCAGTGCCATTTTTTCTTTTTTTCCCATGTTCATGCAACTAGATATTCCTGACTTGAGGGAGGCTCGTGCCTTTGCATGAATAAATTTTTTGTGTGTGGTTGGTTGATCTGGGTGGTTGCCTAGATGCGAATTTTTACTGGGGGACTGTACAATTGTTTAGAAACCGGAACTGAAGTTGGAGGGAATTTGCAACTGAGGTGTTTTTCAGACAGCTCAGCATTTGCTATCATAAGCTTTCAGTAACTCTTGAGAAAAAAATGGTAGCCTACATCAAACAGTATCTCCCTTGCTTGGAGGTAGTTACCTCAGCATGAAGAAACCTGTCTGTAGTGCTGACAAACATTCCATTCAAGGGAATCATTGTCCAGGGACAAATACAATTGTTTGCTACCATTTCCCTCTATAACCCACTATGTTTATGTTATGGCTAATAACCTTCTATTACTTAAAATTCATTTCTCTCTATTAGCTTCTAAGTGATGATTTTGTAGAGAATCTCTAATCAGGCATGCATGTAGACATACATAACAGTACAGTGTTTCTATGCTCACTGTGAAGCTACAAGCGTTTCTATTAACTACACAAGTTGATGCATACAGGAAAGTTTCATTTGCAATACTGCTCAGAAATTCTTCCTACTGATTCAGCTAATTCTAGACATTATAAAATTTACATTCAGTATTCTGAGTTTTATATGTATGTTTTGATAGGCAAAATACATTTGAAAGCATCAGATGTTTAAAAAAAAAAAAAAAAGCAAATATGGGACAAGGTGGAGTAGGTTGCAGTTTTGTTGTGTGGAATTTCAGAACCTGGTTTCTTTCTCTGTTTTTTAGGTCCTTGCATGCTAAAAGCTTAAGTAATTTTTTCTGGAAGTTGAACATTTTTGTGTAGGTAATACATAGAGTGTAAAATTTTGATCAGCTTCTTACCGTAGCTTTCTAACATGTGGCCAAATGAGGCAATTAAGGAATAGTGATGTTTGATGAAGTGGATGTTACTTTTTATCTGATCAGTTTATGAGATAAAGTAAACAAGGGAAAAAATTTTCTGTAAGCGAAGAAGATTGAAGTTGACAGAAGAATGTCAGTGATTTATAAATACTGAAGGTGATCAACGTCACATATGAGTGACATAGCATTGGTGGTTTACAGTTTGAAACTGAACCTTGATTGTATTACTATGTGGATAAAATTTTTATTGTCTTCAACAGAGAATTTGTTAACACAGGACACATTATCAGGAACAGGAAGCTTGCTTTTGGAACACTGAAGTGTAGTTAATACATTATTATTATTACTATTTTGCTTAGATTTTTTTTTTTTTTCAAATAGTAATAGGTGCCTTTCGAACTGTTCAGACATGACTAAGGGACTCTTGTTTTTTTAATGCTTAAAACTTTTAGGAAGGTATTTTCCATATGAAAATCCTAGTAGGATGTTGTAGCATTTTTAGTTTTGTTCTTTTGCCCAAGTGGTAAAGAGTTATTAAAAAAAAAAAGAAAAGAAAAGAAAAAAGCAAAAAAACAGTGAATGTGTTTCATTATTTCCTATTCATTTTTTAGGGGAAAGAAGCTGGATATAGAACTCTATGGTGTTTTAGTTTCTTATTTGTATTCTATAAAAATCTATTAGTCAAATTTTCTGAGGCTGAAGCGTGGTAGTAGGCATTAGAATATTTTTCCTATCCCTGATTTTATTTGATTAAATGAAGAGGTTTTTTTCTTAATTTCTCACTTTACTGATTCTTTTCTCCTAAGAGTAAATGCTATTTTTTATTCTTTATACTTAATAAATAAGTAGCAGAGCAAATCAGGTGCCCATTGTAGATGCCTGGTGTGATTTTTAGATACCTGGGAAGGTATAGGTTTCACATAGGACCTGTCTCATATTGTGCTGCCCTTTGTGGATATCTGTGATACCTTAGGACACCAAGGCATTTGGACTACTCCATAGATATTCGTTAGTGATTTAATGTTTTACTTTGGACTGAACCTGATTTCCACTAGTCAAATGTGTATTTTGAAGTTTTTGCTATAGTTCTTGAGGACAGTGAAAATTCTGCAGCAATATTAACATTAAGGAGCTTACCTTATAATCGCCAGTGAGTGGCAAGTGGTGATAAGATCAGATACTTCACTCACCTTAGTTGCATAAACTCCATAAACTTTTAATTTCAGTATTGATATTCATTATAATTTGAGGCTTAGATGGTGAAGTTTAATTTGAGATCTTTTTTCCTAAACCTTCTGTAGCTTTTGATAAATCTAATTATAAGTATCATCACCTATTTCCTGTGACTAATTTATCTCCTTACTTCTTCAGAAACAGAAAAATGGGCTATGTTTTTCTTTATTCATTTTCAGGAGCAATTCACAAGCCTTTGTGATTTGGTTTGTCCCCAGTGCATCTTATAAAGGCTTGAAACCTTGCAGATTATAGAGCCAAAACGTAGTACTGGAAGCTCCCTTCCAAACGTGAGTCTGTTATGAGTTGGAGGGAGCACCAGGGAGGAGAGCAGACAAGTTTGATATAATTTAATTTATGAGGGGGATCCTAGGTTTCAAGTTTAAAATTGATGATAAAGAAAAAAAAAGGGCTGAGACAGAGAATGAAAGAGCAAATGAGGGAACAGCAATATCCATCCATATATATATTTAGTATAAAGTTGCCAATACAGCAGGCAGTTGAAAGGAAAAGTAATTGGAATCTATTTTATGTCTGGTCTTCCCATTTCTGGTTAATTTCTACAATTATGACAACTGTTTGATAGGCTATTTTAAAAGATGCTGTGGGAATGGGCTTTTATTTCTGTACTGGTGTTCTTAGAAAGGAAAAGGTTTAACTGACAAAATAATTTATACAAGGAAGCATCCGTTAGACATGTTTTACAGTCTATATCATTATCAGACCAAAAAGGTTGGTCTAAAAAAGTTAGCTCCCCATTTTTATCTAAAGAATAATCCTCAGAAATTGTTTTTCATGGCCTCTGTACTTTTCTTAAGTTTTATATTACAAAGGTCCCAAGAGTTACAGATGCTTTGCATTAAGTTTTGTGAATTGGTTCCTGTCTTTCTCTTTGTACAGTTCATCACTTCAAGGTTTTAACTTGGATGGTTTCCCAGAAGCCATATGGCTTTCAGGCTTTCTATTGTTGTTGGGAATCTCTGTTCCAGGACTTCCTTAGTTGAGCCTTTAGGGAGAAAAAAATAGCCACCAGTCTTCCTAACATTTGCAGCTAGGATGACAGTCTTCTCTGACCCTTTGGCTCTGCTGATATACAACACTCTTGTGTCAACATGGTACACAGTAGGAATGGTATAATGGCTGAATAAAAACAAGTTGTTCTGAATGATGTTTTTTGTTGTCATGACAGTTATCCCCTGCAATGTATACTGATGTCCTTCTTTATGCCTCTATATATACTTTTTCAAAAGCTCTTAAGACAATTTGAATTGACTGATTTATAAATATGTAAGTTAATGAAAATGAATAATATATTGTAACATAATGATGCTGTGGGACACCATTCTGGAACAAAACCTTCCAGGGCTACTCAATGATAAAGACCTGGAATAATTCAAAACTAGGTATCATCACTTTGTAAATGGATTTAGTGTGGCAATGAGTGTTTTGTATGATTTTTCACTTTTGCTTAGTTTGAATATTGACCAAAGGAGGTGCAGTCAAAGGAGCATGCAGTAGCATAGTTCTAGGTGAATACTAAAAACTTTATGCTGAAAAATGATAATTCATTCTTTTACTAATGTCCCAAGCATCGTGATTTCATTTTCCTTCTGGAAGTGAAAACATCTCACTACTCCTAATTAAACTGTGAAGACTTGCTCCCTATTACATGACTTTCAGTTATGTTATGTTAGTTACTGCTAAAATTTTACTGGACCATTCAGAAAATGGCACTCTGAGTATTTATAACAATCAGTCAGGAAGGACCACTTTTCTTTCACTTTTATGGTATAAGTGAGGTCATTAGAAAAAGGTGTGTTGCATGAATTAGTATCCACTTTCTTCCCCTTAATTTTTGCCTTTTGTCAAATAATTGCTAGATTTTTGTGTATTTAGAATTTTTTCCTCCAGCACTTAGTTATAAGACATTCTATCAATTCATATTGTCTAGATTTTGATACAATATAATGCATTTAAAAATAAGCAGTTTTTACATATACGTTATAATTACATTATATATATATGCGCACACACACACACACACACACACACATATATACCTGCAAAGGTATGTATATATAGTATATGGCAACCTATGAACACCTATTCAGTGTGAATGGTTGACTTTAGGCCATGCTGTTGGAGAAGATATTCCCTTAGGAATTTTCTGAGTAGATTGTTTTGTATTATTTAAATAAAAATACTGAAAAACTAAAAGAAAATGAAGTGTTAGTAGAATTATCAAATCTCAGATAATGCAAAAGTTTACATTTGTTCTGCATAAGAAAGCTAGCTTGGCCATGTCAGTTGTACGTAGTATTAACAGAAAAATTAATCTCTGTTGCTCAATTCATAGCCTCATTAACATTAATTATTAGTATCTATTAGTATTTATCATTGAATGGATATGAAACATTGATACTGAATATTTATTAGTAGCATATTGCCTATTGTATTGTACTATTATGTAATGAAATATGAGTTGTATAAAACCTATTCATGGTCAGTCAGCAAAACATACATGTTTCTCTGTAGATGTTTAATACCTTTTTTTGTCTAACTCTTATTTCTAGCTTTTATGAAAAAAATGGTTCCTTTTGATAGAAGTGCCACCAAGGAAGATCACGTTAATGCTGCTGTCAGTGAAATGAAGTTGCAAGCAGAAAGAGGGAAACAGTAGAATGCTTTACAAAAACACATCAGCTTTCCCTGTGGTGAATTCAATTCCATTCTTTTGTTTTAGAATAGTAGTAATTCTATCTGCTTGTAGGAGTGACAAACCTTTAGTTATTCAGCTATTGCCAAAAACTTAACTGAAAGCATCAAGAATGAGACTAACAAACTCTGGTGATATTGTACATAACTTGTATGCCAAAGGTTTTCTAGGATTATGCTCTATTCTCTTGCATTTGTTTCTGTGGTCCTCCTAGTCTAAATTCGTTTTATACCTGAAATATTACTAGGTGAAAGAACCGTGACATTAATCTTTTCTATACGCTTATTTGCACCTGCACAGAAATTCTATGGACATGTTCTTTAATAACATTTAATAAGGTTGTTAATGATCAAAGCATTCAAGAAATACTTTGGTCCTAATATTTATTGTGAGAGCTATTGTACTGTTTTATACAGACACATATTTATGATTTTAGATTTTTCAGTTTAAAACCATCATTTAACAGGTCATTAGAAAGAAGTGATAATTATTAAACAAATCCACATTTCTTCAAAATTGGCAGGAATTCATATAATGGTTTCAGCATCAGCATATCTTTATTATTAACTATTTGAAGTTATTATTCTTGCCAGAATATACAGTATCTTATCAAGTAGCATGGCAAATTTTACCTTATGTGACCTCCAGTAAGGCACTTAACTAGTTTCTTCATCAGGACCTATTGACCCCATCTATATTAAGCACTTTGAAGGGCAGTGCTTTCTGGTTGTAAAAATTTTAATAGCAGGGTGTGATGATCATTTATTTATTCTATTTTATTCTTTTTTTAAAAAAGTTTAGACATGTCATATTAATTTTAAAATGTTATGGAAATACAACAGTGCACTGTTGTATGAGGCCTGATGGCTCTGTTCCAAACAAATTTGATACGTATCGATATCACTGTGGTCTCAAACAGCACATCACAGCAGAATCTTCTTCTACTGCACATGAAATGTCAGTGTTTCTGAGGGTCCTGGTTTAATACTCCTACCTTTAGTGCTTCTGGTCGAGTGACCACTGATGTGCTTTAAAAATTTGGCCAAACCTGTCAGAGTACAGGCAACACAAACACCAGTGGAACAATTCTGTTTTGTCAGCTTCTTTAATATTAGGGAGCCTACACCTTCTGAAACACTGTGTCTTTTTTTATATTATTATTATTATTCTTAAAGCACTGTAGGTCTGTTCGTTGTAATTCCCGGGTCATTATGTGCCACCTAAAAATGGGACTTTTTTTCCTACTGAAGAAGTATTCTGCAATCCCTTAAATTCAGTAGACAGTGGACTTAGTTGATAGAATTCTCTTGTATCCAGCCTGTTTCAAACACAACTTTTTGCTAAGAACTTCAAAATCAGAAAAGGAAATGGAAAAAACTTGACTGGATTTCGTTTGCATTTTCTATGCACTTAAATTACTTGATTGTATAAAAACAGTTATTCACAGTTTTTCAGCTAGTCACAATTTTTCTATTTTGGTTTTAAATGTTTTCTTTACCTTCTGTATGTGTATAATGCTATGCATTGTAGTGCTGGCACTGGCTTTTTGCGAACTGCTGGCACATCTGCTAATTCAGAAGGTCAGGAAAGCAAAACAGGAACATCCATCTCTTCTGATCTGAGCGGTAATGACAGGGCCAGAACAAAAACATAAACAAATAATCATCTAAAGTGGAGAAGGCCGGACAAATAAAAACATATTTGTGTCACGATGTACAAAGAGTGGGGATAACATGAAGTAGTGTTTAACTAGGGCCACAGTTACCATAAACTAAACTTCCTTTAAGTATATCCAGCATTTGTAATTTATTTTTTTAATTAGATCAGAGCACAGCTGTAAATAGAATGTTTAAAATATTTTAGATGATTTGTCTGGTAAAGTGTTAAAAAATTGCAAAATAAAATGTCAGCAGCTTGAGTACTTTATGGTACCTACACATTATGGCTAAAAAAATATAGAAAGGTCATTTTAAAATATTTTATAATACAGTAAATCATGTTCTCAAAATACATCCTGCTGTACTGAGACCTTTTTAAAAAGGTGACCGATGCATGGATTGCTGATGGATAAATGTATGCCCAACCCACTTTACTGATGCTGAAACGGTTTTTTAGATATAAAGTACCTATTGCTAAGTGGGTTGGACTCCAAGAGCCTCAGCTGAGCAGCAGTACATTGAAAAATAGTATCGTCTCTTTTTCCAAAAGAATTTGTAAAAATTTGGATGTTCATTCTTACTATTTTATTTATTTATTCATTTTTCCTCACTTGAACCTCAGAAATCTGAATTGCGTTTCTTTAAAACAGTATCACTACTGCTTTACAGCATTTGAGATCTAAGGTTAAGTAGTCTGAACTCCCTCACTATTACATCAAGTATTGAATCAATTTTCCTACAATGAAGGACAGAATTCACTAGTAGCTGAATAATTCTGGCTTTAAGACTTCTTAAATATGATCAGTGCACAATATATTTGCCTTTGGCCACGTGAGTGGTTTTCAGTAGAGTTTTATTTCCTCTTTTAAATTTTCTAAAGGGCTGAGGGAAGAGAAGGGAAGAAATTAAACCACAAAAAAGGGAATTTTTAATGAGTAGGCTTATGATCTCCAAAGTCAGGAAATTCTTTCTTAAATTTACCCTCTTGGCACTGCAGTCCAGATAGCATATAATATTTGTCTCTGTTCCACCTTTGATAGAGGTTCATATTACAAAATGATTTTTGTTTCCTTTTATTGAAGGCTAAAGATCCATTCATGACAGTATTTGAAACTGTCCCTTTGTGGTTTAAGAAATAATATTTTTTCCATATTGGCCTGAAATAATAATCCTCTCACCAGTTTCAGTTTTTAAAGTAGAAAAGCAGATAATTTTTGTGTAAAACGTTCTATATACTTCAAATCTTCAAATTTGCTATCCTTTTTGGTGATCAGATCTCTTGAATTTTAACCCTTTCATGACCCGTTCCTCCATTCTTGCACAAAGCAGCAATTTCCAGTAATGAAAAAACGTAGGATCACACATGCAAGTGGTGTTTGTTCTGTTCAACATTTGTTAAATTAGGCTACTTTATATGTATGTACTAAATAATGGATTTAACAAGCTAATTTTAGGCATTCGAGTTTTTAAATACTGTCCTGAAATACAGTGGTTCAGTCTTGTGCCTCCAGTTATGGGTTTGTTAATCTGAAGAAGATGCACTGGCGCTGTTCAGCATCCCTTATTTCAGCCGCGAATAATCAACACTTGAATTACTTTTCAGTTTTACAATGTCTTTCAGTTCTTTACTGTTTTACATCAGACTATAAGAGTACTTACTTTTAATTAGTTTTGAGAAGGTACTTATTTAATATTCAAATAAGCTGATTTTTATTATGTAATTATATTATCCTGAGAAAAAACTTCAAAATGAAAGTAGAACTTAGTCTAGGAAGCAGTGTCCTTCCGCTGTCAAGAGAATTGGAGAAGAACTGAATCACAATGTAAAACAAAGCAATTTTCTTACATTTACCTCTCAAATTTTTTATGGAAGCTAATATTCAGTTAATGATGAAAATAGTTCCTTGGTCATTCAGTCCTCAGCCACATCTTTAGTCCTTTTTTCCAGCTGTCCCACAAAAGTAAGAAAGATAAAATTCCTTAACTCAAAGAAAATGCTATACTTATAGTCTTTAAAATTCACTCTTGTGAATGTATCATGTATCAGTTCTCCTTTGGTTTACAAAGCATTGTCTCTGTACCATATGATACTGAATGGATTTTTCATGAATGAAAATGTCAACATTTACTGTGACAGTAAACAAGTAGGTATTTTTGTCGCATTCATATTTTTATGGCTAAAAAATTAGTAATACAAGACCTGAATACATTCTCATGTCTACCTGATACCATTTGGAACTAAATATTTTGAGCCTGATGTTGCATGTTTTATTTAAGTTTTATATTTAAATGCAGGATCTGTTTAAAGAGAACTTTTTTAGGGTTTATCTTGCTATCTTTATTCAGGCAAATGGCTCCTTAATAGGTGTTTTGCTTGAGTAAGTACTAGATTTGCTCCTGTATTGTCTGTTAGCTCCATCTTTCTTCAGACTAGAATTGTTTTGATCTTAAACTGCTTTTCCCATCTGTCATCTACATTGCACTAGTATGTCAGAAGATGCCATTCCAGTAACCTACCATCACTTCTTCACTTACCCCACATTAGTAATTTCAGTATTTGGTATGCCCAGAGAATGATAGTAGGATGAAGGCAGTTCTTTATTAGAACATAATCTCTTGCCATATGAATTTTGCCACTCTATTTGCATACTAAAATAAAGCCTACTTGGTAAATTGACTAACATCAGATCACAAGCTGCTTAATTTTAAAGCTTATCCCATAAGCAATAATAATTGTATCTTAGTAGGTTTATCTAGATTTTCTAAATGTTAACAATTCATTCCACTATCAGTTTTTAGTGGAAAATAGTAAAGGATAGACACTGCTGCAATAGCCCTGAAATGCTATTGATTCCAGGCAGAAAATAAGCAATAAACTATTTTAGGAGGTCTGCCTAAGTGCTTAGTGTAAGAACTCAAAAGCTCGTATTATGATGTGTATTTCTTCAGTGTGTCAATATCAAAGTACTATCAGTAGAAACAATTGCTGGCATCTGAAAAGTGATGCTGAGATTTGCTAAAGGTGATCCCAGTATCATTCTGCAAATGTGGATTTCTGTGTCACTCACATCGTTACACAAATGTCAAGCTGGGAAGTCATCTCAAATGTTATGTTCTGGCATTAGGCTTTTCACAGAAGCCACCAGTGTCCCAGTTTTGTACTCAGTATGGGAAATGATTAAGATGAGTTGTGCTTACTGTTGACCAAGAGAAAAATTTGCATCTGTGACGTAAGCCGTTTGGTGTACGGAGCTCAATGAGTGCCCATTTTTAATGAAGCTTTCACTGCTAGGTGCAACCCTGACAACACCATCTCATCCAAACAGCTGCATCCATGAAGGGATCATGTAGTTGGCAGAATTTTTGTTACATGTTATGACTAACACAAGATGAATAAGTCCATCAGAAACCATGGATTTGTTTATTCTGTCTTCACTTGAGAAGTCTCTTATGAACTCATAAAGCTTGAAAACCTAAAAGACACAGAGTGAGAAACATCAGCAGTGAGGCTCTCTAGCCACATTCTCTTCATCCATTGTTTCATTAGATGTCTGAAGAGTAATAAAAGACTAATTAAAAACAAAACCAAAAAAATGAAAATGGAATAAACTGTTCCTTTTGGAAAAAATCAGATATCAAAGTCAAAAAACATTCTTCATGAGTGCAAGTCATTTCTTAAACTTGAGTGACCCCTTTTTAGACTATCTTTGAAACCCCTGAATGTATTAGTCACCAGACGTCAACTCCATTTCATGCCATCTATTATTATGAGAGACTTACTCACTTTGATTTATACTTAACAATGTCCCTTACTTTAGGAAACTCTGTTATGTGCAGTGAACATAAAACTGGAGACAATTCCACTGAAGACGGTTGATGTGCTTTATTTGTGGAGTGCTGGCTGGCTAGTCCAATGTATTTTAACAACTGTATCAGATGTTCAAATTCCTGCCTCAATATTACATTACCGGAAAAAAGTGACAAATACATATCCATTTAGTCTATAGGTAATTTTGCAAGAGTGTCCATGATATGAATTGCTGTTTTTGAAGCTGAGTCACTTTTGAAGCTGAATTTTCCATATGTTCTTATTGGAAATATTGTAATTTTTTTTTCTCTTAGAATGAGGAAAAATTCAGTTAGTGACTTTTGAGTTCTGGAACTTTTTTTTTAAAACCATATACTGCTACTTTCTTTTAAATTAATTAACTAAAAAAGCAGCTAATTTAAATATCTCATTACAAGCACTGCTGATAAAGTGAATTGGTGTATGAGTAATTTTCCTCCAATTTTTTTGTTTTTATTTAATTCAGATAAATTGCAGTGTTTTTTACATTTAATATTCTATGACTGAAGCAAAATTAATTTCATATGATCAAGAATTTAGGTCAGGAAATTCTCAAACTCAAGTTGCCAAGCCTTATTATATATGTGACACTGCACATGTTACCTCACATTTCACAGTCCACTCTTGCCACTGCTTGTACACTCTAAAGTGACTTAAAGAATCTGCATAATTCCCGAAAAGAATTATATTTGTGCAGGATGTCTCTGTACCTGTGTAAAGTGAGAAGTGAGGGCTTTAATACCTCTTAACCTCTTTGCACCATTAATGTAATGGAGAGCGACATGGTAGAATGAAATTCCTCCACATGCAATTATTCCCTTGAAAGACTTTTGCAAGGACTGCATGTCCTGATTTAATATAAAAGTCTCCTTGATCATATTCCCATATAAACTCATCTATCAGCAGAATGTTAGGGGCATCTCTGTGAAAAAAGTGCATCCATTTTATCTTTACTAAATTTACATCTTGTTTCTCCTTCCTCATGAGTATGAATATGTGAGTGTATGTATGTATAGCATGCTGCTACTTTTCATTCCTGTTCAGTAAAATGCTCTGGATAGGCATTGTGTTGAAGCTGGCATTGCTGAAGTAACCTTAACTATTGCATGTTCCTCTATATTTGATTTCTTAAATGTATGTGTGTTCAGGTGTGTTCAGACTTCTAACAGCTCTGTTTAGACCTATTCACCTAATTACATGCATCTTTCTCATCTTCATAAACATGTATGATCCTACACTGTGACATTTTACTGTTCAAAAAGAAAAGAAATCCTTTATGGTATAGAAATTCAGACTTCACTGCAAATAGTGGAGGCTTTGTCGCTAATATCAATGGAGTTAGGATTTCACACTGAATTTAAAAAAAGAATGGAGGAGTATTTTCAACACATACAGTAGGTATGTGTTGGTCTTGTGAACAAATAAATACATACAATGCATTAAAAATCCATTATCTTATCTAGATACTTTCATAGCAGACTGCAATAATTTGGAATAATTCAGCATCACTTCATTTTTTTTATTTTAGACAATTTTTTCAAAATCTGATAAATGGGATTTTAGGTGCATTTGGGCTCTTTTATAGGTACTTTTATTCTTCAGGAAGACTAAAGCAAATTTAATTGTATAACAAAAAACACTGTACTTCTAAATATCCTCAATACAAACTGGATGCAAGATGAAAAATTCGGAACTATTAATGCTCTCTGTTCCACTCTAATATTGCCAGCTACAGCATTTTCAAAATAATGAAACCTTGCCAACATAAGGATAGTTTGTCAGATAAGATGCATGAGTTGAATTTCACACTCATGATTAAATATTTTTTCACATCTTTTTTTTCAACAAATTCAAGTACCTATAATGAGAATTTTCTTATATGTAGCTGAAGCTAATTATATCTTATATCTAAATACCAACACTATTCATAGACTTTTTTTGAATAAGACTCACAAGATAAAACCATTTTTAGCTACTTATCAGATATCCTCCAACTTCTATAGCAAGTCTTTTAACTTTTTTGTCGTTTGGCAGTTTTGTTCCAAGCTAGCTTGTTCCAAGGTGGTTTCATTCCAATTTTTCCATTAGCTGCCATCTTTAGGAAAAATAAATCTTAGCTGTCTTGAGAATTATGAAATGAATTAAACTACTGCTTGACTGTTACTTTCTGTGAGGTGCATGGTTGCACATAAAACTAAATCTATGGTTGCATTTTCAGAATAACACAGGACTAGGAACAAATGTTGTGGAAGTATAAAAGGAGAAATTTGCTACGATATTATTCCTAAGCATAGATCCTTGTGAACCTGAGAAGTTTGTTGCTAATCAGTTATGTATGAGGTCTGATTCATGTGTCACGCCAGTTTTATTGTTGTGTGACTATATTGACTTCAGTATACCTATTAACTTGGGATATTTTAAGCCAGAATCAATAGCATAAATGAAATCAAACATAAATACCAAGCAAAATGTCAAAAATGTGGAGATATGTAAAGTGATTATAGTACAAAGTATATGAAAGCTGTGTAAGAAGCTTTGAGCATGTTACTGCAAACCAATGGCTTGATGTGGAGTCCACAGGTGTGTTTATGTATAAGTTTAGTTAAGGCTCTACCTGAAAACTTTATGTTTATTTAATGTCAACATTTGCACCTACTTCCTATAATCAGAATATGAAATGTTAGCCAATGAAGCAGTAGCAAAAATGTCAATCTTCATTACTTTTTGCTGACCTGGGGCTTATTCCAACCTATTCCTGAAAGCAAGGTTGTAAGTGTTTATTGCAACTCAGGGGATACTAAGTACCTTTGTGGGATCAAAGTTAGTAGCTTTACTCATAATTTACAGTGTAACATGAAATGTTATCGTTTTTGTAAACTGAAAAAATAAATTATTTTTTCAAGCAATGGTTAGCATCTGTATTTATTTGCCTAACACTGCTCAATTTTTGTAAAGAACTTAATAGTTTTCCTGTGTTGTACCAATTGATCTTTTTGGTTTTGTGGAAATCTTGAAGTGGATTTATTACCTCCTGCATGCTTGATGTGAATTTATTTTGGCTGATTCTGATTTTTAACTTGCACTAAGAACAACAATATGCTCTTGGATTTTTGATTATTATTCTCTTTTTATTACTAGTATAAAACTCCTTTAGTGAATAAGATGGTATTTTTCGAGTGAGATAGCCTCAGTAGTTTTCTTCAAAAGTGCATATATTTAAAGCATTTATTTAGATAAAAGATCTATTTGCCCATATGGACCAAAAAAAAAAAAAAAAAAGAATCTGGCAACATATTACAGTTTTGCAGTACGGGTGAGTCTTTTTACATTGGCACAGAATCACTGAGTTTTTCCAGAGGTGTCCTTGAATGTGACAAAGCTGTGGTGTCTGTAGCCTCTTCCAGAGTCTTTGGGAGGTTCATCTGACAAAGCGTGGGTTTGTACACAATCCATGCCTTCATCTAACCTGAACTGCCTTTATAGTCAGCAGAGTATGTGGGATCTGTAGCATGATTTGTCTCAACCCAAAATAAACACCAACATTTGATCAAATGAATTGCAGCCAACTACTCTGAGTATATCATAGATTTCTGTGTAGTAAAAAGGGAAACCAGACAGCTGATTTAGATGCATATGCCTGCATTATAGGCACTTAAGTAAGGTGTGCTTTACCATGTCCATCTCCAAGGTGGGGTCCATCTGTGTTTCATCTGGATTAGAATGAAACATTACATTTTTATTACATTAAATAAAGCACAGCTAGAATCAGTGGAACTGGTTGCATTTAAACTTGCAAAGTGATTGAGCCATCTCAGCATTTAATAGAACAAAAATCATTCTTGCTAAAGAGTTCCAGGGCTAAATTTGTATGGAAGCATTTCATAGAAAAGCAGCTTTGCATTAAATTTTAAAATATAAAGCAAAACCAAAAATAAAATAATGCACATTGCACCATGTCTTATAAAGCTTTTTTTTCTGATTTCTCGTGATAAGATGGCAGACTTTACTTCCATTATATCCTGAGAAATCACTCATTGAAAGTCTATAATTATGTTACTAATTCAGTTCTCCCCAATTACATATTTCCTTGCCTTTAGAGTTAAGAGTTTTTGCATATCTTTTACATGGCTTTGTGAACTGTGTGTTACTGCAAATATCTTTTTTTCCTTCTCAGACCATCTAAGCTCTAAAATCAGAATGTTATTTCTAATTCAATCTGTAATACTGAGATCAGTAAGGTTGAAAAAGCAACTGATACTTGATACAGAGCTGGTGTCCTGTGGCTCTGTCAAGTGAAATCATGAACTTAAAAGTTTTCATGCACACAAGCAATACAAGAAATACTTGGTAAATTTGATGCACTGAAGCCACAGAAACAGCATCCAGGACAAATCTCACAGTGAATGTTTTTTATTTTATTGCAGCAGTTAGATGCTGTTTTGCAGGAATATTATTTTAAACACATTCCTGCATTAGAAATGATAAAGGAACACTTAGTAACTGAGGTTAACTAATGATCTCTTTTCATTGGATATAAAAAGTAATCTTTGGCTCCAGGCACTGCCACCCCACTGCTAATCCTATTTTATGGTGTTTTAATGGTGGGTTGTCCTAAAAGGCATTAAGTCTGAATAGCTCTCAGCTGTCATTATTTTAAAAAAAAAAAAAAAAAAAAGGCTTTTGGCCATCACTTTTCTTCATAGACTTCTCAGCAATTTTCACCAGTGTCCATGATTGGTGGATTGAGAACTGGCTGGATGGCCGAGCTCCGAGGGTTTTGGTCAGTGGCACAAAGTCTAGTTGGAGGCCTGTAGCTAGCGGTGTTCCCCAGGGGTCAGTCCTGGGTCCAGTCTTGTTCAATGACCTGGAGGAAGGGACAGAGTGCACCCTCAGCAAGTTTGCTGATGAGACTAAACTGGGGGGGTGGCTGACACACCAGAACCTGAGAAAAAACTTCTTCACTGTGAGGGTGACAGAGCATTGGAACAGGTTGCCCAGAGAGGTGGTGGAGTCTCCTTCCCTGGAGATATTCAAAAGCCGTCTGGATGTGATCCTGGGCAATATGCTCTAGGTGACCCTGCTTGAGCAGGGAGGTTGGACGAGATGATCTCCAGAGGTCCCTTCCAACCTCAACGATTCTGTGATTCTGTGATTCAGAAGACTGTGCTGCCATTCAGGTGACCAATTATGTAAACTAAAGCATTTCCCACAGGAAAGGCATTCTGAGGTATGGCTAACTCATAAGTTTTCTTCTGGCCTCATTCAATCACAAAGTTTGATGCAATGACTTATGGAAAAACCCTAAAAGTCATAAATTTTGCTCCAGTTCTGGGCTCGCCAGTATAAGAGAGACATGGCACTCCTGGAGAGAGTCCGGCAGAGGGCTATGGAGATGATTAGGGGATGGGAGCATCTATCCTGTGAGGAAAGGCTGCGAGAGCTGGGCCTGTTCAGCCTGGAGAAGAGAAGACTGAGAGGCGATCTCGTCAATGTGTATTAGTATCTGAAGGGATGGTGTCGAGAGGGTGGGACCAGACTCTTCTCCGTGGTGCCCAGGGACAGGACAAGAGGCAATGGGCAGAAACTGAACCACAGGAAGTTCCATCTGAACCTGAGGAAAAACTTCTCCGCTGTGAGGGTGACAGAGCACTGGAACGGGTTGCCCAGAGAGGTAGTGGAGTCTCCTTCCCTGGAGGTATTCAAAACCCGTCTGGATGTGATCCTGGGCAATATGCTCTAGGTGACCCTGCTTGAGCAGGGAGGTTGGACTAGATGATCTCCAGAGGTCCCTTCCAACCTCAACCATTCTGTAATTCTGTGATTTAATCTGGAAGTTCTGGCCAAATTCCAATTTAATTTGTTACACACACTTTGCCTGCCCTCTAGCATTTGAACAAGATATGGAATTCTTCTTGCCTCATATTAAAGTAGTATTTTTTACGCTACTGTTTTCTGTGGGAGGAGTTATAAATTAATCCAGAGGTGGTCAGGGCAGAGAAATACAACAGAGAACCTGAGTGTTATTAACATAGAGCCATCCTACGCTCTACTGCCGACACAGGTATATAAGCTTCCTGTTTTAGAACTTGTTTCTGAAGTGCAGGATTTGGTTATAAATCTAATGTTTTAATATATCTATGTAATTATGCAATCTATAATATAATCTATAATTTTATCTGGTCCAAATTTTGTAGTTGCAAAATGTGTATGTATAGTATGCATACGCATAAAAGCGTATGAGCACTTAAAATAGTAGCAAAGATGTTTTTACAGTACTACAGAATTTTTTGAACAGTATTATGCTTTAATATTACAAGGACAACCAAAGAAAGCAACACTGAATTTAAAAGAAGCAATGAGCCAGAAGAAGTAGGGAACCCAAAAGACACTAAGGAAAACAAAAATGTGTAAAGCAAAGAAAAAAATAGGGAAAAATTGTGTGGGGACAGTAGAGAAACATATAGTCAGCTTCATGTGAAAGACTATGAAACTGTGGGAGATCGTGATCTAATGCGAGGTTAGAGGTTTCTAATGAATGTATTTGGAAATTTTTGTCAAAATGGAAGAGAAAGTCACTGTATAGTTGTTGCATGGGGTTATTAGGGTATATAGAAAGCATTTTGGTTTCCGAGGTACTACATGAACTTAAGTGCATAGGATAAGTTACCACAAGTCCTCATGCATGTGTTATGCAAAAGGGGTAATTAACAGCAGCAGTACAGGTTGAACTCATTTGTATTATTCACAAGATGAGAAGGAATGCTTCAATCATAAAAGGCTGTGTTTAGCATGATTTTGAGCCTTCCTTTTCCCCTGACCCAGCAGAGAACATAAGTTTTAAAGATGACAAAGTCCTGTAGGGGACTTGCACAATATGCACTTTCTATAACCATTTTTCTCACTTCTCCAAACTGCTGAGAGGTAGCAT